TGGTACAAAGATATAAGCCAAGACATCACAGCAGATGAATAGTCAGAAATGCTAACAGATTTAAAAAAAATATAGCTTTAGAAGTTACAGGAATCACTTACAGGCTTATACAAGCAGCAGGATTGTATATATAAAAAATATTTAAAATTTTTGCAAAAATATGCATTAAGGCAGATGATATACCAAAAAATTAGAAAATATTACAGATATATCCTATACTAAAAGGAACAGAATAACAATATAACTTGAATAATTTCAGGCCTATTGCTTTGCTACAAACTCTAAGAAAATGCACAACAAAGATTCTAACAAACAGATTAATACAAGTTTCTATTAAGAAAAAATATCCAAAGGTTTTAATTTTGTAGATCTTCCAGAAAACTTAACAGAAGAACCAGTACATATTATCAATGCACTAATAAAAGATGTCAAAGACAATAACAAGAAACTATGGCTAATTTTTCAGAACATAAAAAAGGCATTTGATTCAGTATCTCTGCAAGCACTAGATCTGGTAATAAGACTTAAAATGCCTGAAAGAATTATAAATTTCATATTGAATTTATTTGAAAACAGATAATCTAAAATTATTACACATTAGAAAACTACAGAAATATAGAAAATAGAAGATAATATTGAACAGAATAAAGTGTTTCATCATTAGTATGAAGAATATTTTATGACCTACTATTTAAAAGAATTCAAAAAAACTTATATCTTGGATATATAACCAAAATAGACATTCTATACAACTATAATCTTAACTACTATAAGAAAATGAAATGGAAACAAGCAGTAGTAGCTTTTGCTGATGACACAACTTGGATTACAAAAAACAAAGAACAGATGAAGTAGACAATTCAAATAGCAGAAGAGTTCTCTAAAATCAATGACATTTAGATAAATAGAAAAAAATCAAGACTAGTAATTATAAATACAAAAGAAAGAATAGAAAATAGAAAAATACATTTAAACAATGAATAGATACAAGAAAAGAATGTAAACAAAATAACAAGATTTTTGAAAATATGGCTTAACAATAAGCTAAAAGAGTCTTTAGTTAAAACAAAAGCTCAAGAAGTCATATATACAATAATAAGAAGTCTTAGAACAAAAAAGATGACAATAGTACAAGTAGCCTATATTAATAACATGTGCATAGTACCTAAGCTTACCTACTTGCTACAGGTAACAAAATTATCTAAAATAGTAATAGAAGTAATACAAAGCCAATTATAAGAGTAGCAAAACATAAACTCAGAATTACAAATTTAGTAAGCAATAATATTATGCTATATAGAAATCTTAGAAATTGCAACTCTTTTTGCCATTAACTATTAATAAAGCAAATTACAAGTTTGCATATATGAGTTAATATTATAGATTTAGAAGAAGCTCTTACCAAAATATAGATTAATTATGAACTCTTATTAATAGGTGCATCAGAAACCAATTGATACCATAATTCATTTAAGGTATGCAAAAGTTTATAAAAGAACAATCTAGTATGTTATATCATGCTTAAAGCCAAAAAGATACAAGTAACAATGAGATTTGCAACTTCAGACCTTAATAAAGAAGAAAAAAATACAAAAATTGCAGATCTACTAGACAATAATTTTACTAAAAACACAGCTAAATTCCTTAGTAAATTTAATTAGTTTATATGAATCAGTTATTTTCAAAGTCAGGTAACAAAATAATTTATAACAACAACTTAAACTATTACAAAGAGAATCAAATAAGGGCAGAACAGCCAAGTGATTTACAAAAATAGAAGAAAAAATATTAGAAGACAAAGAAAAAAAATTAAAAACAGATTGAAAAACAAATGAACCAAACAGCCTTGCTCTCAAAGTGCTGCCAAAACTATTTTCTTGTGACAAAAGAAAAAAAGAGTAGGTTTTAATAAAAACAATAGAAGAGAAGAGTACAAAATTGATAATTAGAAAGATTGTAACAAAAGGTTTTGAAAGATTATTAACAGAACATTGGCATGAAGAAAAGCAAATAAAAATAGCAAAAATAACTTTAACTAAATATAAAGGTTGTAAGTTAAACCAAAGTTAAATAAGTTCAGACTATAAAAGATAGATCAATAAAGTTAAAATACAAAAAAAAATTTCAGATTATATTAGAAAATATAAACAATAAACTCTAAAGTTAAACCAAGAAATAATAAACTTCTTATAAAAAACAAAAAAAAAAGAGTATGATAAAATAAAAATAAAACTATTAAAGTTACATATTATGATTTGGATATTGAAATTATTGAAAAACAATATATCAGTTAGCTAATGAAAGATGAACTTATAAAACTCAATCAAAGAAATATTGATCTTTTATATAGATGGTTCACTAAGAAGAGTATCAGAAAAAGAAGATTTAATAGTAGACCAAATGGGATTAGACTGAGTGTAACTAAATGGAAAAGAAAAGAAAATACTAAATGAGAACTGTTTTGGTATACAAAATTGGCCATCATCAACAAAACCAGAACTCTTAGTTATTTAGTTTGTTGTACTTGCAGTACCAGAACAGAGAAAAGTAAAGATTTGTACAAATAGTGCAGCAGCAATTGCAGGCCTTAAAGATGAAAAAGAAAACCAATCTATTAGACAACAACTAAAAAGAAAAAATTACTATCTATTAGAAAATATTAAAAATATTATAAAGTTAAAAAATTTAGAAATAGATTTAGTTAAAGATCATAGTGATAATGAATGGAACAATAAAACAAATAGTTGGCAAAGAAGTGGTTAATATAGATAGTTTGGATAAAATAGTAGAAAAAACTTCTCAAAAAACTAGCATCTTAATTTATTGGAAAGAAGAAATTATAGAAGATCTAATGAGAAAGTTTATTAAGAAAATTTTAAATCTTCAAACAGAAATTGAATAGGTTTTTTATTAGCAATTAAAAAAGTAGAACCAGATAATAAGAAAAAAATATATAATTGAATATACTTATAGAAAAAGATTAAAGACCAAATCAGAAGCAAATATACAAGCTAAAAAAAGAATACACAAATAGGAACTCTAATTAAATGTTTTAATAATAGATTACTATTACTAAAACTTTTAATACAATGAAGATCAGATCTTTATAAAAATTCTTTTTGCATACTTTATAATGAAGAAAAGAAAGAAAACCTAGAACATTTGGTATCATGTAAGTACTATAAAAATAACTAGGAAAAAATAGAAGATCTATTGATTAATCTTGTATAGATTAAACTCTCAAGTGAAATACAAGTTATCATAAGCAAAAGACAACTTAAAGAAATTTTTTAACAAGTAAACAAGCAAGAAAAAAAAGAAACAAGAATAAGAATAAATAAATGTCTTGTTCAAGAAAAGACAATTAAACAAATATAAACTATACTAAAACTACTTAAAGAAACAAAAGATTTTTTAGACATAGTAACTAATATAGCATGAAATGAGTTCTATGAAAACATATGAAAAGAATATATAAACTATTATCAAATAGGAAAAACTAATAAATATTAACCAGTTGTTAAAATAAAGAAAACCAGAAAAAAATATGAAATTACTTAGTAAAAAGATATATAATTAAATAGAGAATCTAATTAGAATAGAAAGAAACCAAATTGCTAAGAAGATTAAGGAGTCAAAAGAAATAGAAAATATTAAGATAAAGGAAATATAGTTTGGTTCAATTAAAAATTATATAGAAAGTAAAGTAAGATTATTTTCATATGATTTTTTAGGCTAGTTTAGTACAGCCCCCAGATCCAGATTATTACCCCAACTGGTGTGGCAAACTGTCTCTAAGCACTCATTGAAGCAGCTGAAGGATGTCAAACCAGTAAATTAGGTTAAAGTATGTACAAATTTGTAAATACAAATCTTAATAAAGGTTAGCAACAAGGCTGCCAAAGAAAAAAAAAATTATATTCAATAAAATTATTGTAATGTTGTATAAACTAATTTTTTGATAAGTATAATAGATCTATCAATACATATTAAAAAAGACAAATATTAATAATAATTTATTAACTAGTTTAAAATTTGACAAAAACATATTATTGATATACTCATATTTTAAAAATACTTGAAAGCCTATTTTATTAAAAATATACTAACATCTAAATATTTGACAATTTTTTCAAACTATAAACCTTTCGAAATTTTTTTTTTGATAATTTACTGGTAAAAATAAATATGAGAAAATTAGTTATTATTATACCTGATCATGTTATGTTACACTTAATTGCATTGGTTAAACTTTTTGCCAATCATCACGTGGCTCATAAACAGCATATCCTATACCTTCAATGCAATACTTTTTTTTTTAAGATAGTGTTTTCAATTATCCAGTTTACCTTTCTGATTACCAATAAGATATAACTCAAAAAAGTCATAAATGTTATATTCAATACTCATAACTTTTTAACTCATTTATTGTTAATGGAAATTTGGTTACGGCAATCAACATATATTTTTAGAATAGTGTGTTTATTGGCTTTTAACAATCGCTTTTCACTTTAAAGATCGAAGAAAAAATAACTTATCGTATTCTACCGTAAATTAGTACCACACCCTCTACCCCATTTTTTTAAATGTCAGATTAACGGACATCGCAATTAGATCCTTAGCCAAGTTATTTCCGCTAATCTGGCATTTAAAAAAATGGGGTAGAGGGTGTGGTGCTTATTTTCAGTAGAATACGGTACTAAATCAATTATGTTAATATTTTAATAAATATTATTATCATGAATTGATAATATCATATGATTTTTGAAACTTTTATGGGTGGCGATTTTACCCGGCCCAAAATTCTGCGATTTGGCCCAAATTATTTAGAGTTGGCCGGTATTACGATCCAAAAATTCCGGCATAATTTAAAAGTCAGGATTACAATGGTCGATCCTAAATTCAGGTCTAAAAATGGTACCTGCCGTTATCGTTATGTCATGCATTAACATGATATAGATAGATGCGTAACTCTAATTAACATTTAAAATCATGTCAATATGGATACAATCGAAAATTCGCCCATATCAGCTCATCAAATAAAATGCCTTAAAGCTTTTTTAGAGGTATCAATTTTTTAATATTTTTGGTTTAATAATTTTTTTGCTGACCTATTAATTTTTCTTTAAAATTACTTCAACCTTTAAAGAACACAGTTGTTCAAAGTCCTGAGATACTGTTGGATATACTTTGTAGGATCAATAGAATATTAAAAACTTGCTACCAACACGTATCCATTACCTCTGATAAGAATGCACTTTTGTATTGCAGTATTATAGCAAAGAACCAACAAATTTTGGTATAATTCTATTACTAAATTTAAATATTTTCTTCAATTCATTTTTGCTTCATTATTATTCCTCATTCTTATTCTATTATTATTTATTCACAGTTACAGTTTCTTACGAATGAGAATAAATTTGTTGTGTATACAGCCCAGAAATTATTAATTCAGTGGATCTTCTTACTATCTAATAAAGAAGTAAAGTCAATGTATATTACAATATTTTTATGTATTGAAGGAAATACAGTTAGTTAATATTAATTCATTTTGTTAATTTTAGAGTTTAGGTCAAATTGATGTGATAGAAACTCAAGAATCCTTAATAACTGGTCTTTATAACTTTCACTATATATTCCATGAGAATGAACATAGTATTTCTTCTGGCATGGGAACTGAAGCTGTGCTTGAAATTTATCATCATATTTTAAAGGACTTTAGACATCAATTATTGCAAGATAGAGATGAATATTGTGAAGAGAGAATAATTCATCATGTTGGTTGGCGTATTTTGAATATGTTAAGTAAACGTTTCGTTGTAGAAAATTACATAGTCAATGGTCATAGTGCAGATTTTAAAGTACGTGTATATATATCTTTTAAAAAATTACAATGATAAATTTTCATTTACTAACACTAATGATCAATTGTCATAACAGACAGTTTCTAATGAAATCTTGCTACCAAGTCTCTCCATAGTCGCTGATATAAAAAAAATTGAGCAAACAACTAATATGGTTGATACCGAACTTATTAACGGAATAATGAATTTTATTAAGAATCTTTCAAAAAAAATTGATATGAACACTATTCATGTAGGTTTTTGTTTTAAATTTATTCGTATCGTTAATATTTATCTTATCAATAGTTATTTATTCTTAAACCATCATTCAGATATGTAATTTATTGAATAATGGACATCATCAAATAATACGGAAAGTTTTGAAGATTCTATTATTAATAGTGGAATCTAAAAGTAGTGTCGGAGCGGTAAGAATATTTACAACATATAAATTATGTTAAATGTATTTGTTTTCAATAACGATTAACAATATTAATTAATGATTGTAATTAGACAATTGAGTGCCTTTCAGGCATTCTTAATTACGCGAAGAGAATAATATCTATGCCTGATAAGGTTCAACTCGAGAACCTATTAAATCCTGATGACGACCATACGGAATTTTTTGACAATGGTTATTATTACGACTGTAATGGCACGAAATTTGGATTAAGTCTCGAAATCATTAAGCAACTTGTTCAGATTTACTTTTCATCATATTTGTCGATAGTGAACATTCTGATAAATGATGAAAATTTAAGGAATGAACTGATCTGTGAAAATAGTCGTCAAGTGCTTACTAATGCTCTTGAAGTTTCTAAAGGTGATAGTGATTATTCTGGTTTTTTTTTTTCTTAAGGGCTATAATTTACATCCTTGTTATTTTAGGCTTTGAACCTTCGGTGAAACTAGTGGATTGCATGTTCAACTTGTATGTTAATAACGACAATGATCTTATAAACTTTATGAGTAGTGCGTTGCAATTGTCGGTACAGTTAAAAAAACTAGCCAAATTAGCGGAAGAAATCAATCTTAATAACGAAACTGGAATAAAGTATATTATTTAGTTTAATTGAGTATCTTTTAACATAATAGTTCATACACATTAATCGATTATATATATATTCTTAGGTGGTTTCTAGAAACTATATTATCTCATTTCGAACCATTTCTTCAATATTGTACTCCTCACACAATATTCCTCAAGTTTTTACAATCAATTGGATTCGAACATTCAACAATATTAGATTTTTTGATATCTAATGAAACTCGGTTTTTAGAATTTTTTGTTACATATTGTAGATATTTAGTTCAAGATTTTGAAAAGTTTCAAATGGAATGTTATAAGTTTGATAAGGAGATCACCAAAATAAATTATAAAAATACCATCGATCCAAATACTGAGGTCAATATGGAAACTGATTTAGATACTATAAATCGAGTAAATGAAGTATTTTGTAGTCTTAGAGAGATTGTACAATCATTAATGGATAAACAAATATTTCCTTATAATGCAAGTTCTCTGATTAAGAGAATTAAAAATGTGGAAGAGATGCTTAATAGTTTAGATGGTTAGATGGTTAAATGTTTAAATGGTTTAAATTGTTAAACGTTCAAGTTCTTAGAGTATGGTTTATAGGAAAAAATAACCCCCCAATTAAATAATTCTCAATTCCTAAGTTTTTTTTTTCATTTTTAAATATTAGAATGTATTTAAAGGGAATGTGTTTTTTTCTATATAAAATAACTTGTTTTTCTTGGCCCGATCTTTAGATATAGCTAGTCATGATATTTTTGTTAGCCCATCTGGGCGACAGACATAGTTTTAGATAGCGATAGAAATGCAGGACAGTCTGACCATTCAGGGATGAATTAGCTTAACAGCTAGAAAAGCAAATTCGTCTGCTATACATCATAAGGTTGATTAGTTGTTTAACGTCAAATCTCATTGGTCAACCTTAATCACATGATTATTGAAGATTATCCTGCATTGTGATTGGCTCGTTTAATTTCTGGGAGACAGCTAACCGAGAGGGGGATAACGTTAAACAACTATTCAACCTTGACCGGCCTAAGCATGGTTAGGTATTTGCACAATACATGAAACAAGAGGCAAAAAACCAATAATGTTTCCTCGATGAAAGACAAAACATCGTTTGTGCATGTGATGGGGCTTTTATTTAATATTCTGGACATTTTAAAGAGCGTCATTCAATAATGAACGTTTAAATAAGTTGTTTGCGTAACATTGAAATGTCATTTACGTAAAAAAAAAATTTCTCATAATGAACACTAGAAAATTGTCATTCGTGTAATAAATGTCATTCGCGTAAAACAAAATGTTTTCAACGTGATTATTTATATTTATTTATCTAGGAAATTAGATTCATACCCTTAAACAATTTCAATGTATTAAAGTACTTTTTGAGAACGTGATATTTCACTAACAAAGTTTACCATAAACACTATTGATAGCTCTAAACGAGCGTTAATATTCACTATGCCGAAGAATCCGAAAAAATCTTTTGAATGGCCGTGCGAAATTATACTGTAGAATGAGATAATTTGAAGCGTTTTTATTTAAGGCTATCTTACTAAGCTATATTTAAATAAACTTGTATTACTAACAGCTATTTAATTTGAGTAGGATAAACAATTATATGAATATGTTGTGGATAAAATCTCCTTTTTAGCAGGTTTTTTTTTTTACTACCAAAATAACGTCCAGGCGCTATTTCGAAATACGTAATTTAAAGAGTGCTAGAATTTTATTTAACCGAATGCGAACACAATTTTACTTTGATTAAATTAATCATTTCGAAATAACACCCTGTGAGTTATTTCACTTTTGATTCAATCGGTGCAAGTCTTGATTCTCTTTGATCTACCTCCATAATAATCAAGATCTAATAAGTCGCATTTTTTCGGACCTAAAAATTAAGAAGTTAAACCTTTATCGATTAAAAGTTAAATATAAGCATAATTATTTACCACAAATTTTTAGCAATTCTGCAGATGAAAAATGAATTGACTCAGAAAGATTGCTGAAGTTAAGCAATTTACTTGTAAGTTTAGTTTTGGAATGATTTGGTAATTTTGTTGATAATGTTGGAATAATTGCATCTGCAGATTGGAATTCTTTAATCTTCTGCAGTACTATCATATACTATTCTATTCCATTTTAGTAATTTGTCATATATATCAGATGCTGATGGTCTATTAGAAGGATTAGCATCTATACATTGATTTGCTAATATGATATAACATTCATGTGTTCCTTTAGCGAATTCAGGACGTAGTCCATTACATATCTGAATAGCTAATATTCCGTCATATTTAACGGCATAATGAGGCGGTCTTCCTGTAGACATTTCTGCCATAATAATGCCAAGACTATAAATGTCTGCTGCTGTTGTGTATGGCCGTTTATTTAAAACTTCTGGCGCAACATAAGGTAAAACGCCAATAAATCCCGTCTTCTGAAGTCAATTCATCTTTCTTTCTGGACAATCCTAGATCTGCAATGTAAGATATTAGATCTCCGTTAACATACTGATTTTGTAATATATTACCGCTATGAAGGTCCCCATGAACATATTTTTCTCTGTGAATGTTTTAAATTTCTTGATATATCTGTGAGCTGTTTTAATTTACTTTTTCCAATTAAGTCTTTTAAAATTTAATGATAGGAATTTATGAAGACTTCCTCTGTTTGCATATTGAAACCCCATAAAATACACATTATTAGTTATATTTTGAGTTAATCCATATACCTCGAGATCATTACCCACAAGCCTAAATTGCATATAATTTTTAAACTTGTTAAAGAAAAAAAACAAAATTCGTGATATTAATGATCTATTGATTTCAAGTTTTATAATAAATAAATTATTTAACTCGCCTCTCTTAAAAAATTTTTTTTATTTTTTTGTGAATTAGGCAGTGTCTTAAGCGCAACTATGCACGATGGCGTACGTGATTGGGTATATTTATTATGTCTACCTGAGACTATCTTTTTGCCATCTAACCACATTGCTGAAAACACTGAGCCAAACCCCCTTTACCGATCTTTTGAACGTTATCTAATCTATTAAAAGGAATCCACTCGATCACATTCTCATATTTTGTAGTGTTAATCTGAAATTCTTTAATACAATCATCAACATCTTTATTTCCACTTGTCCATCCTTGTGTTATTTTTTGAGGATCACATGTTTGACACCAAGCTTTAGAAGTGTTATATCGCTTGCAATTTGCACACATATCAAAAAAACTAAATCTTTTAGAACCATATTTATCAAACACTAACATATACTCGTTTGTTGTAGTGTCTCGAGTTAGTCCGTATACTTTACTACTCTTTAATTGCATAAAGTCTTTAAACTTATAAATAAATGAATTTTGAGAGCCATGTAATATTTCAAGTTCCACTTTATATGGTGTTGTCCTTGACTGTATATATTTACCCAAACTTGTACGCAAAGCTTATCGTATACCATCTAACCAGACCTCTGAAAATTTTTCATCGACCTTATGAATGTTGTCTAATCTATTAAAAGGAATCCATTCAATCACGTTTTCGTAATTCATAGCTTTAAGTTGAAATTCTCTAATGCAATTATCGACATCCTTATTTCCACTTGTCCATCCTTGTACTGTCTTCTGAGGGTCACACCTCCGACACCAAGCTTTGAAAGTATTATATCGATTGCAATTTGCACATTTCCATTCAATTGCGTACGGTATTTAGGTTTAGGACCCTGTCTTTGCATTATTTTTGGATGATCATGTTTTTGTCACAAAGCCTTAGAAATGCCAGCTTGGTTGCAATTTACGCATTCTACACTTTTTTTATATACTAACATATTTTCATTTGCTGTGGTTTTTAGATAGCCCAAGTACTTTAAGTTTATTATTCTTTGATTGTACACAGTCTGCAAACTTATTAAACATTTTATTAATGTACAAAGTGAATTCAATAAAGTATAATAATAATAATAAATCATAATATTTTAAATATCTTACCTTCTTCAATATATCTATAAATTCCGTGAACTAGTTAAAATTTCAAGTTTCACTTTATATGGTAGTGTCCGTGACTGCTCATAACTAAATTCATTTAGATATCGTACACCATCCAACCAGATTGCTAAAAATCCGTCAGGAATCTATTAAAAGGAATCCACTCAATCACATCTTCGTAATTTGTGGTTTTAAGTTGAAATTCTTTAATACAATTGTCGATATCATTATTCCCACTTGTCCATCCTTCTGCTGTCTTCTGAGGGTCACATAAGCGACACCAAGCTTTAGATGTGTTATATCGGTTGCACCTTGCACAATTTCCATTAAGCGTAGTTCTCTTAGAACCAAATTCATCAAATACCAACATAAATTCATTTGTGGTTATGTTTTGTGTTAATCCATAAATGCTTTTACTATCCAGCTGTATATAATTTTTAAACTTATAAAATATACAAAATTTAGATATACATGTTATTGATTAAATAAACTACACATGATGAATAATAATATAGTAATACATACTTTTAAAATATTTAATAAATTTTGTGAACTAGCCAATGCCTTAAGATCCACTACGCATGATGGTGTACATGACTGTGTATACTCTCTACATCCACCTGAAATGATTCGTACTCCATCTAACCAGACTGCTAAAATTCTGTCACCAACTTTTTGGATATTAAATAATCTAAAAAAAGGAATCCATTCGATTACGTCCTTATAATTTGTAACTTTATGTTGAAATACTTTAATGCAATCATCGATATCCTTATTTCCACTCGCCATCCTTTTGCTACTATCTTCGGAGGATCACATGTCTGACACCAAGCTTCAGAAGTATTATATAGATTGCAATTTACACATTTTCCGTAATCATCATTTCTTTCAGGACCAAAAAAATCATTAAAATAATTTGTAACCTTATATTAAAATTCTTTAATTCAATAATTGATATCTTTATTTTCACCCACGTAATTTGTAACTTCATATTGAGATTCTTTAAAACAATTATCGATTTCTTTATTTCCACTCATGTGATTTGTAACTTCATATTGAGATTCTTTAACACAACTATCGGTATCTTTATTTTCGCCCATGTAATTTGTGGTTTTATATTGAAATTCTTTAATACGATTGTCGATGCCTTTAGAGATACATGTCTGGCACCAACCTCTAGAAGTGTAATATCGACTGCAATTTACACATTTTCCGTATCTTTTAGAACTAAACTCAAATATAATTCTGTAATTCCGTCACATATTATACAAAACGTATAACATAATACTAAAACACTATTAGAAGTTCTATTATAACACTTTCAAAATTTGCTTCATGAATGTTGAAAAACGAAAACACAAACTTGTAATTATTATTTTTTTTTTACAAACTATGCATCAATAAAAAAGGGTACATTATAGTTATCGCGTGTTTAAGTTAGTTACACACGGGTCTGACGTAACAACTAGAGGTGCAGAGAAATTGGAATAGCCCATACACGAACCTAGCATGACCACCAAGATCAGTTACGTACGGAGTTTCAACGATTAATGT